GGAGCTGGCCCAGGGGGTGGCTCCACAGCCAGCTCAGTGTTAAGACACTGTATTTTAAAATTTGAATAAAATGCCAAAAAAGCCCAAGAATTTTAAGCTAGAAAAATAATAGGGCTTAAAATATTCATAAACTAGTGGACAATTTTAAAGAGAAATTCTGGAGAGAAGATTTGTCTCCTGCCCAGCAAGAAAAAAGTGAAGAAAAAGCATCTGTGCTCTTCAGCCCCTGCGTTCCCTGTTTCAGCCTCTGTGTTCCCTGTTTATTATCTACCCCTTCCTGTTCTTCCTGAGGCTTCGTGTTCATTTAATTCTACTTTTCCTTACAAAAATAAACATCCAGTATGTATTTTAATTTATTCCCAGTCTGCTGTAATTAAGTTGCAGATAAACACATGGTTGCCATATGACAAAGTGATATTGAAAGGAAATGAGACACAGAATTTTGTGTACTCAGGCCTTGGTTATGCTGCATTGGCTCTTCTGTAGACCTACAGCCTAGTTCCAATTAGGAAAAATACAAAAATTATGGAAAATTATTGGTCACATTGTGAGCATAGTGACAAACTGAATCATGTAAACTCTTGGGGAGTCAAGCACGAAAAATAATAATGTTATGGAAATATGGAAGGAGGAAAATAAATGGCAATGGAAATAGAACTGAGGCCAAAAAAGAGAAGCTGTAATCAAGGGAAAAGGAAAGAAAGAAAGAACAAAGCAGAGGGATTTCACTGGCAGTGAGCACAGGCCACTGGATTCGGGGCTGGTGGTCAGCGGTTTCAGGTACGTGTGCAGAGCACTGGCTCATCTACGAGAGGCTGAACCTTGGCAGAGGGATGATGCCTCAAGTCACAGGTGTGGGCTGATAAAAAGGGCAGGTTTGAAACCAGGTGTGTGCAGAGCACTTTTTATCCAAGTAACCAACCAGCTGTGCCTGAGCTGCAGGGGGGAACCAGGCACGTCCTGAGCTCGGGAGAGATTCTGGTAAATGTTTGCAAAGATTTGCCCTGTTCAGGGTGACATTCCAACTGTTATTTATAGAATCCCAGGATGGCTGGGGTTGGAAGGGACCTTTAAGATCCTCTCATCCCACTATCCCAGGTGGCTCCAAGCCTCATCCAGCCTGGCCATGGACACTTCCAAGGATCCAGGGGCAGCCACAACTGCTCTGGGCACCTTGTGCCAGGGGCTCCCCACTCTCAGAGGGAACAAGTTCCTTCCCAATACCCCATCTATCCCTGCCCTCTGGCAGTGGGAAGCCTTTCCCTGCTCTCCTGTCACTACTTGCCATTGTCAGACTTTCTTATAGGCCCTCAAATCTGCTCCCAAAATTCTCCTTTCCTCTTCTAAAAAGTGAGACTTGCATGCTGGTTGTGTCCCGTGTGATTTTAGTTTTAAAGGCAGAGGACTGAGGCTGGCTGAGCATGGGGGGTGGGCTGGGACTGCCACGGGGACAAAGCCACTTTATCATTTTGGACAAAACCACTTTGACCTTGTGCTCTTCTCGTCCTTGGTTCCGCCGGCGCCGGAGGTTTGGGTGATTGGCATCACAGGGATCACCAGCAGGACTGGTTTGCTTGAGGAGCTTTCCCTCAAGATGGGAAGAGGGGAGCTGTATTTATTCTGAGACTTAATTACGAGTGGTGAAGCTTCATAAATCCATTCTGAAAATACAGTGTTTCTATGGGCTGTAATTTAGTTGAAGTGTTCTCTGTTACAGTTCCTTTAGTTGCACAAAGTGAGAAACTTCCACTTTCTAAATGTGCCTTTATTGCTTTAGTGAAATTCATTTTAAAAATTACTGGTGTTATGGCTATGTTGGGATTTGAGGTCTTGGTGCTCCCAGCCGTGTGTGATTTCAGTGGGTGATAACGTGGCCTTAGCTCAGCAAACCATACAGAGAAATCACCCAAATCAGAGCCCAAACAGAGCCCCCTGGGCAGGTTTAGAAATTGCTTCGCCCTGTAGAGGAGCCTGTGGTACCATAACTCTGTATATACATCCTTCTTCCAGAACAGCAAGTTCAGAATTAGCAGTAAAAGGGAGCTGCTGTTCCAGCTGGGAGCAGTCGTGTGTTTTCTTGCTAAGTGGGACACAATCAAATTTATCTGCTTTTATCTGGCATCTCTCTTGCCAATTTTGCTTTGTATTTGTAGCTACAGCTTTTAAGCTGAACACATTTATAACATTTTCCTTAGCAGAGATTTCGTGTGCAGAAAATTGCAGTGCAGCTGTGGAATAATAGGAATAGCTGCTACAAGTGTATGCCCTGGGATGGCTCTGTGTGTGTGTAGAATCTGTCATGGGAGCAGAGCAAAGCTGTGCATTCCATCACCACGGTCCCTTTGTGGTTTGAGACTATTCCTGTTTGAGACAAAAGGTCCCATAAAGTTCCCTGCTTGGACTCCTGAAGGAGCTGGAAAAGCAATTTCCGTCTAGGAGTAATAATAGCTTGGACTTTTGGTTTTGATCATAAGCTGACATTTAAAAGTCATCTGAGGAAAGATATTTCTTGATGAAAGTCAGGTTTTGCTTGATGCAGTTGAGGCTGATCCTTCCCATCTGCTATCACGTCCTTGACGGGATCTCCTTCCCTGGCCTCGGGTCTGGTTTACGAGATCCCTCAGGAGCTCCTGACTTTCCCAAGAGACCTTTCAGTGGCTCAGCTCGTTCTGTTACTCCGGTTTTATTGCTCAGCTTTTCTTTTCTTAAAGGAAAATTTGGAAAGTTGCTCAGCAGAGAAGATGAGGTGGTAATGTTGTACCCATAGAATGTTTGGAAGTGGGGATCTGCCCATGCTCGTCCTGTGCCTGGCTGTTCAGTCACCTGCCAGATCCCCACGTTTTTAACTCTGGCATTCAGAACCTGCACTCAGTATTTTCTCTGTGGAATTTGAGGCAGATTGCGTGACTGCATTTCCCAGAGTTCATTCCTGGAACTGTCAGTGTTTAAGACTGCTGCTTGATCCTGGGTGTGGTAGCTTTGCTTCCTGCCCCCATGGGTGTTGGTGGAAGGAGGGAATGGCAGCTGGGATCCTCGCATGGATCTGGGCTGGGGCTGCCTCAAACCACTGCCAGGGCTTGGGTTATAGCAAACAGGGATGTAGGTATTTGTGGTTTGGCTTTTTGTGTGTTTTGTGGATAGCTAAAATACGACCTTTCCCACTGAAAAGTTGGATTTTATCCCAAATCCTGTGAATTTCACACAGGATTGGCTTCTCACAGCATTCAGGTTGGTTGCCAGAACGCCGGCACTGAGGGAAGGCACAGAATGGCCCTCGCTGTGTGCAGAACTCACTGGAGCTCCCTCTCCCAAGTACAGGGAAGCTCTTCTACAGAAAATCATACACTGGGCTTTCCTTGAGTTGGCTCTGGCTTCCACAGAACATAAATACTTCCCCCCGCCCCAAGCTTGGGGAAACATGTTGGTCACAGCAGCTGCACAGGAACTCCTGAGACAGCCCTGGGAGCATTTCATTTTGTTTTGGCAATTGTAACTCTTATCTGGCTCCTCTGATCTGTTTTCTCTGGTGATTCCCAATGTCTGGGTGTGGGTGGATGAAGTGTGGCTTGGTGTTCAGCTATGGGGTACTCGGAGTCCCTTGTAAAGGAGGGATGCACGAGCTGAGTTCCAGGTAGAAGCTAATCCTGCATTTCCAGTGTCCACACCTGGAACTAAAGGATCCCTGGATCCTCCCAGGCCTCTGACACCAGGCAAGGAGAGGCTCATGATGGACATCAGGCATGGGTTATTGAGAAGGAAAGCCTGGAAAACTTGTTTTGTTATCAGAGAGGCATAATTCCACAGGGAGTAAAGCTGGAAGAGAATTCCTGCTCTGCCAGATGAGTGACCTTTGATCAGCCACACTTCTACCACTGTAACTGCCCTGCTCAGTGTCCTCCCTTCTGTGTCTGTGTTCCCAGGATAGATCATGGTTGTTATCCTCGCAGTAAATACAGTACTGGATACTGGGTAGAAATTAAAATGAGCAAATTCCATGTGCTGTATGTCATTTGGCATCCTGCACAGCCCCCTTTCAGTTTGTCAGAAATTCCTAAACCAGAGCAAGGTCACATCTGGTAGCAATTTTGCTCTGCCAGATGAGGCGTAATCCCATAAAACCGAACTCATTTTCTCCAGTACTGCTCGAAGCTGAGCTCTCCTGCTCCTTTTCCATAAGACCTGCTGCTTGAACTGGGAGCTCTGTGGAATGATTCAGGCTGGGAGACTTTTCACACTTTATAAACTGCAAGGTTTGGAACACAGCTTTGTGTCCGGCACACGAGGCAGGACAAGCAGCACTGCCCTGGAGTCTGTGGCTCCGTTCTGTTTCCTTTTCCAGCAGCAGGTCCCGGCAGGATGCTGTTCCTTGGTGCTGGGTGTCTGTGCATGCCCTCATTCCCTGGGTAACCTGGCACCTGCAGCATCCACACAGAGCTAGGAGTGCTTTTAAAAGAGCTCTAAAGTTCTGAGGCTTTCACGAGACACGTCGAACACATCAGATGGACTAACAAAGTGATGGAGCAACTATCAACCTTTGCACATTGTAGTAACTGAAAATAATTCTCAGAAACATGGAATTTTAATAGGAGCCAGTATTTTTATGTTTGATCATGTTGCTGTTGTCCCATATATTGCTAACATTGGTTATTTTGGTATTTCATTTGCTTAATTACTCTTTCAAAGTCTTGTGTGGAGCTTGGTGTCCATCTCAAACCAGAGTGTACCAGTGACCTGTCATCACTCACAGAGGCAGGGGGTGACATGATGATGTATTTATTATAAGATGTTATTAAATCCAATTAACAAACTTAGTTAAAAAAAAAAATTTCTTTCAAGGTTTCCTGGGTTTTACGTAAGGTTCTCTTAAAAAAAGAAACCAACAGGTCAGAATTTCAGAGAGAGTATTGTTACTCTTAACTTAGTGCAATCCACCATGGCTGGGTAGGAGCCACCTCATCTGCTGTGATTTTTATGAACCAATTGAACTTTTTTGTTCACAGGCCAAGTATCCCGACGTCGTGACCCTTCCGGAAGGACTGCTGGGAGATTTTATAATTCTGAGGAACCCCAACATTTCTGGGTAAGCCAATAAATGCATTTGTGTATTTACACAAGTGAGGGATTGCACAGGCAGGGCAGCAGCCTTATGCTGCAGCTCTGGGCTCCTGTGGCAGGAGGTGCAGGGATCCCAGTCCCATCCCAGCAAAGCCCAGTTCCTTGCCATTGCCTTGGTGTCTTGCCATTAAAGACCAGAAAGAAAAGGGCATTTACTGTGCAAGGGAAGCAAAGCAGGTGTGGCTCTACTTTTCCATTGTTTTAGAAGGAAATTAAGGAAATTAGTTAGATGAAGGAATTATTACCTACCAGGCACATGGGATTTGTTTGGCCTCCCTATGAGATCTGTTCCAGTACATTTGGGATTTTCAGCAGGGGAAAAGAAAGCCTTAGAGTTAAATGTAGGATGGTGCAACTATCACTGTCAGGAATTCTGTAAGGGCCATGAAAAGTAACTATTTTGTGACAGGATCAGACCATTCCCTTCTCCTGTTACACCTTGCTTTAACATGCTTTCATTTACATGGAAATAAGGCACAGCTCCCTTCATTATGTTTGTGTGTAGAACTAGCAAACAAACCCCAATAGATGATGCTGCTTCATTCAGCCAAACTGCCCTTTAAAACGAAATGCTTTAACTTGGGGCTGCAGGAATGAATGGTTCTGAAACTATCCCAGATAGGGTAGAACTTGCTCTATTTTACAGTTCTCCCCTAGTGCCAGTTGCCAATCCCCTTACCCTCATTCCCTCTCACCCACAGTCATGAAACACAGGAATATAAAAGTCATTTCAGCGGCTTGGTAGAAAACAGGCAGGCACAGAAATTTGTTTGCAAAATCCCACAACAAGCTGTGCACAAATTCCCAAAGGATTTGTAAAAATGAAGTGGCAAAAGGCTGACAAACCACATTGGAAGGAAATTCCTAAGAATCATGATGGATTGAACACCACTGAGAAAGGGACCTTTCTCCTCACAGTGACTCACTGTGCAGACCAGCTTTGGATTAGGAAAGCCTCACCTCCAGTAGGGAGCTGAGGGTTGGAGGGAGCAAAGGGAGCTGTAGAACAGCAGCTCTGCTGTGGGTGGTGTTCTGGCCTCAGCTCCTGCCTCACCATTCCCTTGGGATGGTGCAGTGATCCCACCCCACTGTGAAAGCTGGGAATCATGACTGGCCTTGCACAACCAACGTTTGGCTTTATTTTTTTTTAATTAAAAGCAAATTACTGCAGGAATGTAGGCCTTGGACCTGCCATTAGTCTAAAAAGGCCATGAATAGCAGGGCAGCCCTTATCCCAAACCCAGCACATCACCATTCATGCAAACACTTCTGAACAGTTTCCCGTTCTCAGCACCTGATCCTGAGTGTGGCAGCCCTTATCCCAAACCCAGCACATCACCACTCATGCAAACACTTCTGAAACAAGTTTCCCGTTCTCAGCACCTGAGTGTAGATATGACATGAGGGGTAGAGCCAGGGGACACTCAGTGCTCTCTCTCCTTTGCTTTCCTCTCACTTTTACTGCACTGTGCAAATCTGGATGTAGCCAGAAACTTTCCTTGTCATTGGATTGATGTCTTCCTGCTTCCTGAATCCAGAGATGGTTCATTGCATTTTGTGAAGTGAATTTTGTTGCAGAGCACGAGGCTGACCCTCATGACTGCTGCACTTTTGGCTTTGAAGGAACCTCAAAGCCAGCACCTGGTTAAGCTGAACTGCCTTTCCTGTGCACCTGATACAGGTTTGAATTGATGATTGTCTGGAGGATCCACCTCGATGAAGAAGGGACCACTACACCTGTCCTGGACCTGCTGCCCAAAGTACCAGAGCAAGGTAATCTCAGTCACTTCAGGGACGGTTCCTGAACTGCCAGGCCCTGGTTTTGGCCATGGAACTCCAGTTCCCAAAGCCCAGCCACACAAACCCGCCCCAATTCAGCAGCAGCTACACTTCACCTCCTGTGTAATATCCAGGGGCTCACAAACCCTGTCTGCCCGCAGGCCTCCCGCTTTACCCACCTGCTGTCAGCCCTGCTGCAGCTCCTGCAAAATAACCTGCACTGCTCTGTTTCTCCTGCAGTCCTGGAGCAGAGGATGAGGAGCGTGGAGAGCATCCCTGGCCGCTTCCGGAGCGCGCTCCGGCTCTTCGGGATCGAGGCAGCCATCGAGAACCTGATCAAAGTGCTGGGCTCAGAAAAATGAATGCCAGCATTACTTACGCCAGGTAGCAATTTCAAAAGTAGTTTTAATTAAGATATTGTGTTACACAGTCTGTAGTTTTATTGAATATAAACATTAAGTTATTTTCCATTTAGAAACCATACTCATAAAACATGCTATCTGTACAATTATGGCACGTTATATATAAATTGTCATGACATGAAAATAAATACAGCCATTTAAATACAAAAATGCCAAATAAAATAGTTACATGTACAGAGTGATTTCATTATAAATTTATCTTTCTGAATCATTAATGTACCAGAGTGGTTTATCTTCTTAACATTTTCTAGATACCTGGAAATTGTTAAAAGATCGTGCACTGTCAAAATCAAGTCCATAAAAATCCAATTCATTTCACAGCTCTGTAAAAGTACAGTGATTTCAAAATGACAAAAGAACAGTAAGAGACTCCTAGAACAAAGAGTTAAACAGCTTTCTCATTCAATCAGGGTAGAAGAAGACAATTTGAAGATTTCAAAGACATACAATGCTAAAAAAGCCGAAGGTAACTGTATGAAGTAACTTTGTTCCACAATGTGTGTTGAGACAGCGTTAAGCTAACCCGAGGCCCATGACCCCCCTGGGACAGGTGAGCCAGTCACCTCCTGCCCCTGCAGCACTTCCTTTGCACTTCTGACTTCCAGGAGGAAATCCTGGCAACACATTAGCAAAGCATCACCTTTCACACATTCGTCCCTGAAGAAATAAAACAGATCAGACAAATGTCTTGCCTCTCCCTTCACATCCATCAGATGTGCCATAAACCGATCTGGGAATTCTCAGTGTTCCCAGGAGTTCCTGCTCTGCACTAGCACTGCACCCCAACCAAACTGATGTGACTGAAAGTGAGGTACTTCTCAGGTGGGGAGTAACAGTTCCTGGAGCCAGGAGCCCAAACCCACCAGCTCTGGGCTCTCCTGTGGCAGGAAGAGCCCTCCTTTCCAAGGCCAGAGCTGCTGGAGCCCCCGGCAGCACAACCGCGCACTCCATGCAGCAGTGGGAAAGAGGTGAAGTCTGAACTAAAGCAACAGTATGTTTCTAACCCCATAAATGTAATAATCCACTATTTAATCACTGAAATGGTCTTCCACTGTTCTGGTAGTTTAGGAAAAACTGAGCCTGGTTTCTGCCAGACTCTGAGCAACACCAGAGATTGGGTTTTGATGAATGGCAGCTCTATCTTGTTAGATAAGGCAGGCTCATTTCAAGTTTGGAATCCAGTACACAGGCAAAATTCCTTCCTACTTCTCCACTGACATGGAACTGGTTGAGTCAGTTTTGTGTAACCTTCAGTTCATCTTTAGCTCCCTCCTCCTTGCCTGAAAATGAAACTGTTTGCTCAGCACAGACACTGCTGTTTGCATATGAAATGTGTGTGTAAAGTTACAGCATAAAAACTTCCCAGCTGTGCAGGGTCCTTCCTTCCTCCTCTTTCTAATAGCTGGAGGGTTTCTGGATTTATAAGGGGCTCTCCTCCTCCAGGTTTTCTTTGGGAAGAAGGGATTGTTCCTGCTGTCAGCTGTCATCTCATTGCACTGTTGTAGTCGCACATGTCAGGCCTGCCCCAGAAGGGCTCCTGGCACTGGGTGCCAGCACTGCCAGCTCAGTCTCTGGCACAGGGACAGTGGTGCCTCTGTGTTTCACATTTCTTCCCTCAGTTGTGCCAAGGTACAGGGGTCCTATTTTTGAATTTCAGGTAAAGTGGAACAATTCAAAGGTTACACTGAGGTCCCAATATAAACCTATTTTTACACCCTGAACACCATTACTGGTAGGCACAGGCTGTATCCAGGTAAGAGCTGTTCACTGGGGCTGAAGGAGTAGCTCTGCCCCATTCAGGGGGTGTAAGCCTTGAGGGAAACAGCTGCAGATTTTATCATTGCTCCCTCAGGTTTGGATATACCCTTCAGGTCCAGCTCAGGATCTTCCCCAAGGATGGCTTTGCTGCAGCACCTGCCCAGCCTTCAGCTGCACAAAGCACTGCTCCTCTGCAGCACTGGCACAAGACTGACCCACTGCAGCTGCAGGGAAGAAAATGGGGTTCTGTCACCTTTTCCTGTGTCATTTACAGCAAAAGAGCCTGAAAGCAGCTGCTCATGCTATGCAGTGTGTGGGGCATCAGTGTAATAATGCCAATGTTTGACACAATCTGAAAGACCTGAAATGACCTGTAAAACTCAGAACATATTCTTCTTAGAGCTCAATTTAAATCAGGCAAGAGCAAGCTGTGGTTTCACCTCCAATAGCAGCATATAGTGTACAGAGACAATAAAAACCAGCATGGCAGGTGAGTTAAGCCCAACTATCATGTAAAACTCAAGGTTGTTTACCTTAACCCTTTGCACTTTGTTTCAGAAGCTTTAGGTAGATACAAGGTGATCACACAATTTCTGGAGGCAGCCTGGTGTTCCTAGTCCATGCATTAGTACTTAAATGTTCTGCAGTGCCAGGGCAGTTCCACAGAGCAGCCACTGCATGGTTGAATTTCCAGTGGATTAATGCTAAAGTGTTGTTCAGGATTTGCCAGAGCGTTCCCTCCTTTAGTAGGGATGAGGGAGACTCAAAGCACAAGGTCCAAGGTAATTCTCTTGTTAGTAATTAGGCTTTCTATGTTAGTGCAATACTTCAGGAAACCTTTAATTCTGTGCTCTTTCAATTCTAAGGAAGTAGACTTTTCAAATTAATTTGATCTGTCCTCTAGTTCCAAGGTATGGCACATTACCTGTTCTGTCACATTAAATACATTCATTAAGGTTATCTAGCAAACATGTGGCTTAGTGCTATCCCAGGTCTCTGAGAAGGCATTACCCATTAGAAATCATTTCATAAAGCAAAAACATTCACAGCTGAAAAATGCACTGAACACAATTGAAAAGGAAAAAAAAAATCACCATAACTGTATTCCAATAATCTTTCACTTTCTCGTGTATTTGAATAAAAATAACCTTAAGGGAATGGTTACACTTTATGGAGAACTAATGTGCAGTCTTCATTCTCCTTGAAGAGGCTGGACATAACTGGGTCCTCTTTGGCCTGTACATTTTTCAGGTAATAGTTGACTATTTCACCATCGAGTTTGTATTGGTGGGGGATGCTTTCATAGGGCTTCAGGTCCAGGTCCAGCACAGAAACAGAGAAGGTGAATCTGGATTTGGATGTCAGTACCACAGGTCTTTGCTCAGAGCTGGAAAATAAAACCACATTGCACATCTGAGTCACTGAAACCAGCATTTGTAATTTATGTGTCCCTTTGCAGAAGCGATTCTAATGTTTATCTTAGAACTTTTGTGGGAGCCCAAGAAAATAAACTGCAGTAATGTAGCACTTAGGAAACTATAGCTCCAGCTTTACCAGTCCTGATGGGACCTTGCTGGCACCTCTTCTTTTCATTTTCCTTTCAGCTTCCACACAGCTGAAGGCAAACATTACTCTCATTTACTGTATTTAGTAAATCTAGGTTGTTTCTAGGTGGTGCATAAAAAAGCAACAGCCTTATTAACAGCAAAAGCAGAAAAGGGATTGCAACTCCTATTTAGGCTCAAGGTAATAAAACATTTAGTACACTGTCCAAGCATGCTGAGGGATAGAGGAGTGCTGAAGTCAGCCATTGCACAAGTCATGTCCATCACTAACACTTCACTGGAAAACTGCAGGACAAATGCAGAAAACAGCATTCTCTAAAAATAAAAGGGCTCTGGTGAAGCAAAGCCCCCTGCAGAAGAACAGATTAGCACTGCTGCCACAAACCAAAAGGGATAATATTGTGGCAAAGCCTCCTGCCTGACAGCCAAAGCTGTCACCTCTTGATTATTGCCTTGGTTTTATTCTAACTGGGCCATTAAAGGCAACTCAGCTTGAAAAATTTCTCCTATGAGAACACCAAGGCAGAAAAACTGTACCTAGTTAAAACCATCCAGAGCTACTATGAACAGTCAATTCAAAGTTTAAGAAGGGAATAAATATAAAACTTTGATCCTTTTGATCAACTTAAAACTCTTTAGAAAGAGACATTGGTCATAAATGTCTTAAATCACAACTATACTAAAATGCTCACAGCCAAATATTTGGACACACCACCCCCCTACACACATCCCACACTTTTAAGTGATTGAGTTGCCTGAACAGTACAAACATCCCAATTTCTAAACAACTGGAGCCATTGCAAAGCAGGTACAGGCAGCTCTTACCATTCATCTTGCAGGCAGGGGGAAAGGGCAATCATGATGGAGCAGTCTTTAGCAGTCATTGCTATTCTGTACTGCTGCACCTGTACAACAGAAAATGACAATAGATTGGTGTTTACCTGAGTAAAGCATCCTGTTCCTTACAAAAAGCAGCACTGCACTCCCTGTATTGGTATGTTGGCACTTTAAGAGCTGGAAATTCTCTCTGGAACAGAAGGTTGGCAGGAGCAGGTGCTTTTGCAGCATCCTGTGTAAGAGTCACGTTTATTTCCTACAGAACATATTCCTAAAGGCCAAACAGCACCAGTTCCTGCAAATGCTTCCTCAGTCTAGAAAGCAAATAAACAGTTTTATTTTTCTCTCAGGAACTGGTGCTACCAGCTTGTTTTTAGCTGCTTCTGCTATAAAGCTGCACCCTGGCACAATGAAGCACTTTAACTGCCCAGACCCCGACAAACCAGCAGTGCTGCCTCCATCCATTATCCAGCCCTTCCTGTGAGACAGAGGTTAATTAACACTGACAGACCAAAGAACCTCAAGGAGTTGAGCAGTACCTTTGTTAATGCAAATGCCACTGTCCCATCATCTTCCAGGGAAAGGTCCAGCAGCTTCTCATAAAACGCTTCATTGTAAGGTCCATCTATCTGTAATGTACTTCTAAATAAATGTTAAAAGAAGATTTACAGACAGCCAAAATGATCTGCTGGTTTTCAGTGTGATCTTTCTTCAGCAGCCCAGACACTCAGATTAGAAGAACCCAACAATACACTGATAAACATATCAAGTATTAACCCACTGCCAACCAACAT